TCACAGCTCACAGCAACCTCCAACTCCTGGGCTCAAGCGAGTCTCCTGCCTCAGCCTCCCAAGTAGCTGGGACCACAGGGGCCTGCCACAACGCCTGGCTATTTTTTGGTTGCAGCCATCTTTGTCATTTGGCAGGTCCAGGCTGGATTTGAACCCGCCACCTTAGGTGTATGTGGCTGGCGCCTTAGCCACTTGAGCCACAGGCACCAAGCCAACAAACAAACTTTCAAGTCCTCGTGCAAAGTGTTGGAATCTGAAATCAGGTTCCATGTTAATCAACCAGAATATAATACATTCTGTAAGGTTATGGCTAACTGCCCTACAGCTTAACACAATATTCAGAACACACTCTTGTTTCTTTTTTAGGGGGACAGAGTCTCACTATATCGCCGTTGGTAGAGTGCCATGGTGTCACAGCTCACAGGAACCTCAAACTCTTGGGCATAAGCGATTCTCTTGCCTCAGCCTCCCAAGTTGCTGGGACTACAGGCACCCGCCAAAATGCCCAGCTATTTTTTGGTTGTAGTTGTCATTGTTTTTTGGCAGGCCTGGGCTGGATTAGAACCTGTCAGCTCTAGTATATGTGGCTGGTGCCCTAGCGGCTAAGCTACAGGTGCCAAGCCCACTCTTATTTCTTATCACATTTGGAAACTTATACCTAGTTAAAGGACTATATCCACACCAGAACCTACCTTCATTCTGTTTTCCTCCTGGGCCCTCGCTAGGTGCCAGGGACTCTTTGTGAGTCTCTGGTCCCTGCTGCATCTTTGACTCTTGTAGCTTTGCCTGGGCCTCGGCTTCATCCTGCTTCTTCTTGTCTTCATAGGCTCTGGTAATCTCCTGTCCCAAGTTTGTAAGGAGGTCCCGCATTTCCTGAAGAGCTTGTTCAGCCTCAGCTTGGTTCTCTGCTGTGGGATAGCCACTCTGTCAAAGTGACAGACAGTACTTAGTGGTCATACCCTAGGTACTCTTGTAGGACAAAATCATACCCAAGTCAATAAATTTCTAGAATTGGAATTGTTGCAGTAATGAAGAATTCACTTTCAACATGTTGATAATTCCTTCCAGTTCGCTGGAAGGTAATACCAATTTACTTTCACAGTCAGTTTCTTTTTTTATTTTTTTGAGACAGTCACACTTTGTTGCCCTGGATAGAGTACCATGGTGTCATAGCTCACAGTAACCTCAAACTCTTAGACTCAAGGTCACTCTTGCCTCAGCCTCTCAAATAGCTGGAACTACAGGCACCTTCCATAATGCCCAGCTAGTTTTTCTACTTTTAGTAGAGACGCAGTCTTGCTCTTGCTCAGGCTGGTCTTGAACTCTAAGCTTAAGCAATTCACCCACCTTGGCCTTCAAGAGCTCTAGGATTACAAGTGTGAGCCCACGCCCAGCTCACATTCAGTTTCTTTTTTTTTGACCAGGTCCGGGTTTGAACCCACCACCTCTAGTATATGGGGCCAGCGCCCTACTCCTTGAGGCAGAGGCACTGCCCTCACATTCAGTTTCTAAATATAAATTTATTAGGGTGGCTCGGCACCTGTGGCTCAAGCAGCTAAGGCGCCAGCCACATACACCTGAGCTGGTGGGTTTGAATCCAGCCCGGGCCCGCCAAACGATGGCTGCAACCAAAAAAAAAAAGAAAATATATTAGGGTGGCACCTGTGGCTCAAAGGAGTAGGGCGCAGGCCCCATATGCTAGAGGTGGTGGGTTCAAACCCAGCTCCAGCCAAAAACAGCAAAAAAAAAAAAAAAAAGAAAAAAAAAGGTGGTAAGATGGTAAATCTCATATTAGGTGCTCTTATCACAATAAAATAAATAGAATTTTTTTTTTTTTGCAGTTGTTGCCCAGGGCTGGGCTTGAACCCGCCACCTCCGGCATATGGGGCCAGTGCCTTATTCCTCTGAGCCACAGGCGCCATCCCAAAATAAATATAAATTTATTTATGCGCTGCCAGAGTAATTTTTTAAAGTTTATAACTAGATAAAATGATACTGTTATAATTTTCATTGCATACACTAATGGTGATTTTAAACTTATTTTCATAATTATTGGATAATTATGTTTCTGCCTTTTTAAGCTCCTTGTCCTGTCCTTTGCTCATTTTTTCCATTATTGGGATGGAAGTGGAAAAGTGAGAGTTATTCATTTTGGGAGGGGGGAGACAGGGTCTTGGTCTATTACCCAGGCTAGAGTGCAGTATCATTATCATAGCTCATTCCAGCTTCAAACTCCTAGGCTCAAGTAATCCTCCTGTCTCAGCTTCCCCAGGAGCTGGGATTACAGGTGCATGTTACAATACCTGGCTAATTTTTTCTATTTTAAGTAGAAATAGGTTCTCACTCTTGCCCAGACTGGTTTTAAACTCCTGACCTCAAGCAATCCTCTTACCTTGGCTTTCATTTATTTTTTTATTCCATAATTTTTTTGTTTTGCTTCTTTTTTCTGAGACAGAGTCTCAAGCTGTCACCCTGGGTAGAGTGCTGTGACATCATAGCTCACAGCAACCTCCAACTCCTGGGCTCAAGAGATCATCTTGCCTCAGTTTTTATACTTTTAGTAGAGACAGGGTCTCACTTTTGCTCAGGCTGATCTCAAACTTGTGAGCTCAAGCAATCCACAGGCCTCAGCCTCCCACAGAGTGCTAGGCATGAGCCACCATGCCTAGCCTTTTATTCCATAAATTAAAAATAACTATTTGTATGAACGACATTAAAATTTGATCTGTTGGCTCAGCGCCTATAGCTCAACCGGCTAAGGCACCAGCCACGTACACCTAAGGTGGCGGGTTCGAATCCCCAGCCCGG